TTTTTCAGATTCACAATTATTTCAGTCGGTATTGTTATCAATGAGTAATTTGAAACGTTTAGTTTTAAAAAATATAGCTTGCGATAAAATTCTTAAAACTATTGGACAATCGTGCTTTCAGCTAGAAATACTAGATATATCTCATTCAAGTCAAGTAACTGATAACGGCATAAAACACCTTTTACTACAAATTGAAATTAAAGACAAATCAAACAATTTMAACAAACATAACATTCATTCAACAACAAAAATATCTTGGTGGCACGTGATAAAATCACTATCAAAGTAATTAACACCAGTAGAATTTAATCAAATCTAATATTCAATTTTTAAATAAAACAATGTTATATTTTCAGGAAAATTAGAGTTAAAACTGRTCGACGAAATAAAATAAATGATTTTTCGTTTCTCTTGGAATATTATCAAAAACCAACGAAGCTGTGTTCTACATTAAACACGTTAAACATTGCCAATACTAGTGTYACTAGTAATGGAATCCTAATAGCTTTACAGAATATACCAAATTTAGAAACTTTAGGCGAATACTGTCATATTGGTAAAGCTTTAGAATTATTGGATAAAGCTACAATACCGTCAACTAAACTTCAACTGACAATGGCTAATGCATGTCGTACAACTTCGTCAAGACTACAAGTACTTTGCAATACATGTACAAAACTAAACAGACTGACTATCACTGAACCATTGCATTCACCACTCATGCTAAGTCAACTCCCCAAAACACTAACAATCATAAATTTACAAAATGTTCCTACTGAGCACGCATGGTTAGATGGCTTGTACACATTTCTTTTAGGGCCACAATCGCAAATTCTTCGCGAGTTGTTTTTGAAATTTCGAAGAGATGAAGTTTCACTAACAATTGATTTGAGTGTTTTCTTACCTCAACTGGCMAATCTCAAAACATTATCAATTGATGGAGTGGAATCATCATTATATTCAAGTTCATCAAATATCAAATTAAGAAAACTTGAGAAAATCCAACTCAGTAAAGTCGACCATCCTAATACTCTGCAACGACTAATAGAATGTACACCAGAACTGAGAGTATTACATGTCTATACTTGTTTGGGATTAAACAGCTTAAATTTTATGGAATTACTTAATCCTAAAGAGATTATTCCAGCAAAACAAATTTCAAAAAGTTTAAATTGCCTATATATTAATGATTTGCAACATGGAAATATCAACACGGTTAAATATATTATAGATCTGTGTCCYGAAATAGATAAAATTGGCAATATTAGTAATTGGGACATWAGTCAAGAAGAGATAAAAGAATTGAATATGTGGAAACATCAAAATAATTTTAAATTAGAATTGCATGCAAATTCTCATTGGTTCTGTTCAGAATGTTTTCCTATTTTATGATATTTTATAACATAATAATTTATTAAATATTTAAATATTGTTTTATAATATGTATAAATATATTAGACATTGTGAAAACTATTTGGCAGTTATATCAAAATATGCATATAATATATACTATATAGATAATATATAGTGATTAATAATTAGTCTTATAGATTTTTAATGATTAATACTAATATCAAAAYTARTATACTAGTATACTACAATGAAAGAGAAAAAATCAAATTTGTAAAATCTGTATCAGATTATTGAAAAAAAAGTTGTTTTTGACTATTGATTTATAATTATTTGACTATAATATAAATTTACTATGGCTATTGACAACTTATATAGTTTTTTTCTTTATTTTTGAGAAATATTCTTTTATTTATATTTTATATTGTTAATACAATATTACAGAGGTGGCCACAACRAGGMTCACRAGCCACATGCAGCTCTTAAATCAATTTTGTGAGGCTCTTGAACCAAACTTAGACTAAAATTAAAAGTAAATAAATGTTCCTGCATTTGTTTTAAAATGAAAAATGTATCTTTATTTTGTAAACATTGCTTTACAATGTGTGGCTCACCTCGAATTAACTTTATAAATTTGAGGCTCCCAAAGTTAAGGTTAGTGGCCACCCCTGCAATATTATATAAAAGTGGCCAAATTGTTGACATCCTTTAAATATACATACACGTTTGTGCCGTTTGTGGCCCAATAACCTTGGTGATAAAATGTAAACAAAATACTGTACTCCGAGCAAGCAGATAAAAATATTTAAAAAAATACACATCGATTTATAATGTATAATCTACCTCTAATTAACAATTTTATTTTATCTTAAAACAAATTATCAAAATATGCAAATAATTATAATGATAATTTTAAATAATATAAAAATTTTAAGTCATAATCGATATACAGCTTTAAATGACTTTTAGAACTGAACAATGTATTGTTTGTACACATACTTAAAAAGTAACAATAGCTTTTTCATTGTTTTCTGTGAAAGTAATATGTTACTGTTTTATTTGTTTGATCAAAAATATAATGTTACAAGTCACCAACTAGTACCAAGTACATACATTATTCTGTAATCTGTTTTTTAACCTTCTTTTACCATGCAATACATCATAGTAGGTAAAAGGTATTTACATATTTGTCACGTTTCCAACAGCACATTTTATATAAACAAAAAATTATTGAATTTGTTTTTGTATTATACGTTTAAGATAAAAAACAAACATCACCAAAACTATTTGAATTTGTACCTACTTATACAATGTAACCCAATAAGGTATGTTATATTATCATATTGTATACAATATATTTGAAAATAAACCATAAATTAAGTCATAAATATTATTCATAAAAAAAACTTGTAAAAAAATAATAAAAAAATAATAGCATAGTTTACAAATAATGTAGAAACAGTTGTGGAAAGGGAAGTAGAGGATAAAAATTATCCCTGTTTACATAATATCGCATTTAAGTTGTAAAATGTAGAATATGTAGATATTATCTTGGTAGTTATTATTTTATAATATCTATTAAAAATATGAATATAAAAAAAATATATATTTATTCATGGTTAATAGACAATAGTATATTAAGGGCCGGTTTCACCACTACTTTAAACTACGATTAAGGTAAACCGGGATTTAATCGGCCGAATTTAGCCGGTTAAATAACTGTTATCAGTCGATTAAGCGTAATCAACGTTTAAAGTATTTGGTGAAAGCGGCTCWAAGAGGATGTCAGAACATTTTTTCTCACTGACCCATGTGTAACATAGTACATTTTATATTCACAATGTCTTAAAAATTAGAATGATATAATCTTACATAAAATGTAAAAGTAAGATTATTATCTAGGACATTTCATAGGCTGTTAATTGTATTTTACTTTTAAAGTGAATTTTGAGTATTATGAGTAGCTTTTTTAGTTTAAATATTACAGTGAATTCAGCTACTAATAAATTTGAATGAAACATATAACCTGTAGTTTATTAGAAATTTTAATTTCAAAACAAGTTATAAACATTTAAAATAWAACAATATTAAAATGCTCATARCCCACATCAAAATTAAAATATCGAGAAAAACTGTCGCAACAAATAACAGAATATATTGCCATCAATGATTTTGCCAATAGTAAAATCACTCTTATATTAACATTAACAAAGCTTAATGAAAACTATTAAATGTAAATTTACAAAACTCAACAAAAACATTTTACACTAGTAAGACAGACACAACACCGAGGGGTGGGACTTTCATTTTAACATTATTTTTTTATATACAGTGAAACCTTCATAATATAACAAWTTTACATAGAGGCAAAAAAAATGTTGTAAAATAGAAAAATTTGTTAAATAAAATTTCTATTCTTCGTATTTGTTGTCTAAGTCTTACAAATGYGTAACACATCAAATTTACGCTCAGCAATTTACATTTTACTCCGTTAACTTAAAAATTAGAGTGAATAGATCTATTATAAAACTTGATGGTAAGAACATTATCTGTGTTTTGTTGGAATTATCGTAAAAATAYTTCCAACAAAACAAGAGATATCGCAATGGGTAAATCCTGGCAGGAGACTGTGTATATACTATATATGTATATATACATAGACATATCCACGGGGGTGCAGAGTATGCACCTGCATCCTCTGCGATTTCAAGTGGCACCATGAATTAAGATAAAATTGTTCAAAAAAGGGGGCTAGGGCCCATTAGCCCCTTGGGTACGCACCAGATTGCACCCTCTGCGTCAAAGGTCTAGACATGCCTATGTATATATGTTTATATGTATATATGTATATATATTTATTCATTTGCCTACTACATATTCTAATTATTGTGGTTAATATAAATTGAATATATCTTTAAAAAAAATAATGAGTACATTTCTTCAAAGTAAAGRTGATTATGTAACTTTTAATTGTTTAAACATCATTATTTTTAACTTAAAGTATATACAATTTTAATTTAAACTGAATAGAATATTTTCTACATTTTTATTACCTAAAGATGAATGTTCTAACTGTAGGTATTGAAATTTTCCATTCGGATAGGCACAATTAATTTGGTTATAATATTTTTCTTAAGTGATTACCTTTTGAAGATGACGGTTAACACCAAGACTATYATAAAATATTTAATGAACAACATAYTAAACAGGAACTTTTTCAAAAGCAAAACATTTTATATTTTGTGGTTTCATATATATAATATATATTTTATAGGTTTAAAGTTTGGTCTAAAGAAATTATTCAATGGTTATATAAGTGATTTTWTAAGCATGCTCATCCCATTTTTATGATTAAATTATGCAGATATTAAAATTCAGATTTTTGGAACTTTTAAATATGCTTGAAGACCATTTTTTATACCATTTAAGGATTTATTACAGAATACAGWTATTACAGTTTTTATTTTTATAAAATCRTTTTTAAGGATTATTATCTTTAGTATACAAATTCGTTAGAATTTTGATTTAGATACATCAAAATTTTCAAAAAAATTATCAGCTAAATAATTTTCAGTAAAAAGGGGGTTCTCATTTGAATAATAGATATTGGTAGTACCACAGGATACTTCTTAAGTAGTACAAAAAATATCAGAAATTTGGAAATATGGTCTACTTAATAAATCTAAAAAGGAAAATTGGGGGTGAGCATGCTAAAAAATTATCCTGATACAGTATAATATTATTGGAGTAATAGATACATTTGTTCCTCGCTTACTTAATAGTAATTATTTTAAACTTCCAAATTAATAATTACAATAGTYTCAATAACATAAAGAATAAAGATAGAAAGATAGAAATACATTTAAATAACATAATTTTTCAAGTAATATAATTCAATTAAGAATTATAAAACCTCAGGAGAAAAAAATTGAGCTATCGATATTTTTAAGTAATTAAGAGTCAAATGTATATTAATCATATTAATACTTAATRGTCAACCTCAAATATCAATATTAAATTATACATATTATTCATGATATTTCATAGACTAGTAAACTACTTCTTATCCTTTTTTTTATTTTTAACTTTTTAAAATTTTTACTGTAAGAAAAAGCCATAATATACATAAACAGTTTTGGTTTTGTATTTTAAAAATCCAAGATACCATTTAGGGAAATATTTTATCAGTTAATATATTAGTTTATATCTCGGTTTATATCTAGTATACAAATAATCAATAATTAATATACTAAAGTTTAGACAGGAATATAGGAGGAGAGTATGGAAATTTGTGTAGTATAATGTACAT